CTGGGACACAGAGTTAACAAAATGTAACTAAAAAGAAAAATAAAATTAAATAAAAATAAAAATGTAAAATGTAAAAACATAAGTACACACTGTCTTGGTAGTTGGGCATGGACCATAGACATGAGTAGAACTGAAGAAATATACACATGCTCAAGGTGATGTGTAGAAACGATCAGAATATTGCATTTACAAGTTGAATCAGGTTAGGTTTCTCATGGGTAACCATCAGAGCCTAGTCAGCTCTTTGTTATAGGGGATATCCTGTACATTGTAGGATTTATTTTTCTTCTGTGAATTGCTCCTTTCTACTCATATCAGAGTCCAGTGGTATTTCTTTGCCACTATGATTGTCCACTTGTCTTCAGGGAGGCAAACTCATCTTTCACTGGAACTATTAGGTTAGGTAAGGTTGTAGTCAAACAACTATCAAATTTCATGGATTCAACATGCATTTACTTCTTAGTCAATGTATAAATCCATAGCTTCTTAGCTGTGAGGTCCAAGTTGTGCTCTGCAGAAAATCATCTGGCATTCAGGTGAAATTAACTGGCAAAAGAACACCAGTGTTTTGTCTTTGTTGTTGTTTTGTTTAATGCTTCTCTTTTTTAAAAGACCCTTGTCAGGGTTGATTATAGTTAGATAGAACTCAAAACTATTAAATGTGAAGTGGCTGAGAAAGTAGGGATCACATGGGCTGTTGTGATCATCAATGTTTCTGCTCCTCTTTTTGCACCATATGAGTAAGCTTAAACAATTTTGAAATTCTGCTTCATAGGTGCAGTTACAAAACCTGACCTTTGTTATCTAAAGCAGCCCTACAAGTATACATACTAGTGACATTACACAAATTAAGCAGGTTAGTAGTTAATGAAAAATTTTATGTAAGAAGTGGGAAATAGTAAGAGCTGGAGAGGACAGGAACTCCATAAGGAGAGCAACAGAACAAGATAATTTGAACACAGGGAACTTCCCAGAGAGTCATACTCCAACCAAGGACTATCTGTGGAGATAACCTAGAACCCTGACAATGCAGCCACTTCTGATGAGAACTGATAGACTAAGATCAGAAAGAAGGAGAGGAGGACCTCCCCTATCAGTGTACTTGGGGAGGGGCATGCATGCAGAAAGAGGGGGAGGGTGGGACCGGGAAGGGAGGAGGGAAGGGCTTATGGGAGGATACAAAATGAATAAAGTGTAATTAATAAAAGTTAAAAAAAAACAAAGAGGCATGAATTTGAAAGAGAATAGTTTATAAAAGGTGTCGGAGTTAGGAAATACGGAGAATAATGATGTAATTTTACTATAATATGATCTCAAAAATATAAAAGAAATAATTAAAAACAAACAAATATAAAAGAAGTAATTAAAAACAAACAAACAAATAAAACCCCATCCTGATGGGAGTCCTGTGAAGAAGTCTCAAAATGGCACAACATATTGGCTTCCTTCTGCTTGATGCTCCCAGCTCCCACACACTAATCCTCTAATCATTACGAGTTCTTTTTCTCCTCTCTCTCTTCTTGCTCTCTCTATCCTCACTCTCTTTCTCTGGTTTCTGTCTTTTTTTTCTGTATATTAGAAGTGTCACAAAGCCCTGAAATTTCAAACATTCAACATG